AAAAATTACTTAAAAATTTACAACAGTTTCATTGCCAGTGTAGTATATGCATACATAGAATTAATTCGAAGACTCGAAATTGCAATAAACTCCACTCAACGAGTGGAAGTGGGTTAATGAGAACAAATTAACTGGTTATTAGCATATTTACAAGTACATAGAAGTCCGATGAATCACATTACAACAAATATTTGTATATTTGTGTACCCGTGTGTGAGTAGAATTAAGCAATTAGCATAGTAATTAAAACTATAACTTCATTACATGCGGTACAACAAAAGTGCACAACAACAACAATAACAAATTAATAAGTACAAACTCATTACAACGTGGCCGAATTCGCCAAGCCGCACGCCAACCTAGCAAGGGCGCTGCGGCTACTATCCACTTGGAGGCGAGTGCGTAGAAACTTTAATGCCAAACCATCATAAATCTAAATTTGTAAATATATGCTTACAAAAGTATTACAAGTGCATGTAAGCAAGCTTATTTGCACATAACTACAGACGTAAGTGTTGCATGCACAAGCCAAAACGCAGCCAAAGTGCTTGGWTTGCAATCAATTTTTATTGTCTTCGCCTTGAAATCGAAAATGTACGAAGACGAAACRCAACGCACGCAAAAACACTTAGGTATCTGGGTTCCCCTGCAATTGGTGGAAGAACAAGGTTCAACGGAGCATAAACTTGCACGCATGTACAGACGTGGTCATTGCGATGGACACACAACTATTGCAATTGCAATTTGACCGCTTCAAGTTCATGTTAAATGAAAAGCAGCTTAATCTTCGTTTGTTTGCTCAACGCAATGACTTTTTTTATTATTGTTTGCTTAGTAAATTTTGAATATAGCGACACTGTGCCTACTGAAACGACTGTAAGTGTATTCAATGCTTTAGTATGCTAAGTATTTTATTTGCCAACAATGCATTATGCTGTGTACAAACTTATAGATGCCACTGTAAGTTTTAAATGCAAAAGTTCGCACCACTTCGCTGTAAGTTCTGACAAAAACATAACTATCTGTCACCSACGAGTGTTCGGAACGCGTTAGGGAGGGAAAAAGGAGGTATAAGTGCATCGAAAAGTTTCGATTCATGATTTTTTTTTACTTTTGGGGGACAAACTAACGCTCTTAAAGAAGTTGCATTACTAGAAAAAAAAGCACTGCGCAACAGAGATATTAGATTTGGGAGCAAAATATAACGCATAAAGAAATTTACTCTCTAGAAAAAAAACGCATAAAAGAGATGCAATTTAAAATGATGAGACATTATTAATAATGTTAACAAAAATGTATTTATTACTCCCTCTCTGTCGAAAAGGCTTTCTCTGGGATATATGAATTATTTTCGTGTTGCAAGTATTTGACCATCAGGCGGGGTTTTCTGTCTACCAGTGGTTTTCTCTAGGATACAAAGGTCATTATCCTGTTAAGTAAGTGTTATTACACTGATGAGGTATAAAATGAAAACTAGTGGCGCCAAAATGTAGGTAATATGTATTTTGAACGCAGCCCGAATGCTTTGCGTACATTAAGAGGTGTAGGCGACTTCTAAGATATTTTTAGGTTCAAATAATTTGGAAAGCGAATTAGTAATATTTTTAAAATCACAATTTTTTCAGGTGGATTTAGCAAGTAACCCACTAAAAATATTAAAA